TAAAAATTTATATAAATTATATCAATATAATTTAATCTTGACTATTTTTTAATATTCTTCTTACTTAATAAGATTGTCATGTCTTAAGAATTAATCACAAAGAGAGACATAATGCATTTACTTGGTTCCTAAATGCCTTCTTTATATTTGAAATTGTCCCTATAATTTAAATTTTAAAAATAAAATTTTATAGAAAACAAAAGTTAATGTATCATATTTGACATTTTTGAAAAATTTAAAGGGTTGACTACCCCACTTTCCGACACTGGCTCCCATCCTGACTTTCCCGTCAACCTCGGATGCTCAATTATGTAAACATGTCGTTGTCTGCTTTTAATTTAGTGGGGATGACCTTTTTATAAATTGCAATTGTAAGTTTCACAGATCATATTTATCATTTCTCCAATTACCCTGTTCAAAAGAAAAGGAAAAATGTCGTTGTCTGTTCCATCATCTTCCAAGCTACTGGGACTCTGTACCTTGAATTATATGCATGCGTGTTTTGTCCTTTCTCTATTGAGCGGGGTTATGCCGTTATGGTGATCAAAATGTAAAAGCCCAATTGCACAAATTACTTTCAAAACTGTCGTGTTAAAATAGATTGTTATATAAAAATATATTGATATAAGTTATTATTTTAAATTTTTATTTTTAACAAATTTATTTAAATTTAATTTTTGTGATTAAAATTTATTAAATTATTATTTTTAAAATATAATAAAAAGTGAACAATAATTATTAAATTTGAGTTAATTTTTTTAAAATAAAAATTTTAGATAATAAATTACATCAACATTTTCTTTAAGTAGTGATTTGTTTCAATGCGGTAATTTTTGGAGTAGAATTTGCATCTTTTGCAAATGCAAATGTTAAAATCACTAAAAATTATAAGATATTATTTTTGAAAATATTGATTCTATTTTTTAAATATAGGGAAATTTAGGGGAAGGGGGATAATAGCTATTATTGCAACGAATTGAACCTTGGTATTTGTCAAGAGTTTTATACACCTTAACAAAGGCAATTGAAGCTACAGGTGAAAATATTGATTCTATTTAATTTTATTGATAAAAAATAGTTAATAATTATAATTATTAATTAATATTAACAAGTAGAACAATCGATGTTTATTAATTAATAAATTAAAATTGACTAATTAACAAATTAATATTTTTAAGGTTAAATGTTAATATTAATCCTTCAATTTAAAAGTTTTGCATAGTTTTTATATCTTAACTCTTTTATATATTTTTTTCATCTCTTAATCATGAAAAATATATCTTTTTAATCCTTTTTCTATTAAATTGTTACAATTATATGTATATTTTTAGTCCTTCAATTTATAACAAATACACATTTTTTATCCAACTTAAAAGTTTAAAAATTAAAAATTAAAAATATACATATAAAGACTAAAAATATATATATAACAATGCATATAAAATTGGATATGGGTCACCGTTTATTGAAATATGCACATTTGGTAAGGCACATTTTGCCCAAATATTATTGTGAGTTGCTAACAACTGTCAACTAATAACAGCCTTCCTCAGAAAGTAATGAAAGAAATAGGCAATGAAAGAAATAGGCAATGAAAGAAATAGCACCATGTGCTCTTTGAAGGATTCGATCCGTTGGTACATCTGGATAGGTCAGAGTAAAAAACACCACTAAAACAGTGGGTTGAAATGACCCTTTGCCACAAGACCACAACTTTTCCCCTGTTAAAAAATGGACAGGATATGTAACAGTATTTATGTGTACAATTTGTTGGTTTGGTTTTGGTGTGGTTTTTTATTTTTATTTTTTTTTGAACAAGGTGTAGCTATTTATTTTGTGTTTGTGAAAATCATGCATATGGGTTTAACACAATGCTTGCATCTAACTTAAAACCAATTGGCAATAAGTGGAGTAACTTTTCTTGTATTTAACCTACAAGCTTCTTATTTTTATACTTAATGTGAGATCTTTCTACTTAACACGCCTCCTCACGTGTAGGCCCACTATGAATGTCAATGTCGAGTCCTGTCACGTAAATTAATATGCCCTCTTAAATGCAGGCCTGATATCTTTAATTTCGGATCCTGTCAGGTGACCTAACAATAGGCTTCCCAAAATAGAATCTGTGCTCTTATGCCATATGAAAATCGTGTATGTGGACTCGATACAAGACTTGCATCCAACCTAAAACCAATTAGCAATAGGTAGAGTGGTTTTTTTTGTATTTAACCTACAAATTTCTTATTTTTATAATTGATGTGAGATTTTCCCACTTAACAATGTTGATGGAAATTCATGTTTTTGTACCAATTAAGCAGCATTTTACATTATTATATATAGCTTCAAGAAAATAAATTAAAGCATATCAAATATGCATGACATAAATTAATGGAAAGCAAGGTAATCAATGAAAAGAAGAGGACAGACCTGGGCCTCCATCTTGTACAAAAGAAGTAAAAAGAGGGAATCATATTAAGTAAAGGCGTTGATGCCTAATTAGGTTGGTGAATGGTGATGAAGAATTGTTATGTAGATAGCCTCCTTTAACCTTTCTATCTTGGTTTTTTAATTTTATACCTACTCCCATGAAATTGCAAATTAAATGATAGACGGCTTTTTGGACTCATAATTATTCATCATTAAGCAAAGTAGATGTAAGAATTACAAACTTTTAGGTTTCACCATAATCCACTAATTAATATGATTAATTGGGCAGAAAAATACTAGTAAAGTGAAATTAATATGAGAAACAAAGTTATCTGAAGATAATGTTTTAACTGTTATGGACATAAAGTGAAGGATTGAAGCTTCCAAACCAAGCAAATTAAGACTGTACGTACATAGGCACATGAATTGAATTGCCGAAGATCAAAAGATCATTTCCCCTTTATGATTCTATGTGTGTGTGTGATCATTGAATTTCCTTTTAACTCTTTCTGCATTTTAATTTTTGTTTTCAACGAAAGGAAAAGCTCTCTTCATACCAAAGAAGTAAATCTCGTACCGTATCGGCCGGTATGGTCGGTACGTACCGGTTTTGATACTTAACCGAAATGGGATAATACTCATTTTCGTTTCGATCAAAATCCGGTCATTTCGATCAAAATTCGATGTACCGGCCGGTACACAAAATTTCGGCCAGTACACTTCAGCCCCAAATAAAAAAAAAAAAAAGATTTCTTAGTCCAAAACGACGTCGTTGTGGACTAGGGCTTTTAAACCTTGCAAATTTGCAATTTCAGATCGAACATCAGACAAAGTCGAACATCGCATAGCCTTGCCCTCCGATCCGACCCTCTTCACCAGTGGTGCAGGGCGTGCAGTTGCTGCTGCTCCTCCTTCCTGTTTTGCGAATCGGCGCCCTAGATCTTGGACTTAGTGTGGAGATCAATTCGTGGGCTTGTAATTTCAGATTGAATCTCTGTAGGGGTGATGGTGGTCGTCGCAGATCTGCAGAAGGGAGAAGGGAGATGGTGAAGGTTGGAGGTGAAGGAATGAGGGTGATGGTGGCCGTCGCAGATCTGCAAAAGGGAGAAGGGAGAAAAATCGAGAGGCTTTCTTTTTCTTTTTTTTTTTTTTAGTCTGCCGTTTCTTTCACAGTTTAAAAGAGGGAAACTAGGGTTTCTTTTATTGTTAAATTTGGGTTTTGATGGGCTGGGCTATGAAATTGGGTTGGAACTTGAATTAAATTGTTGGTGGGCTCAATATTGGAGTGGATTTGTGGATTTATTTTGGTAGATTTCATCCTCAACTTTTTAGTTTTTTTGATTGAGTCCTTTTCTTGTTATTTTTCTTGAATTTCTTCACAAAAATATTTTATACCGATAAATCCGAAACGGTACACGAAAAATTTCGGTATCCGGTATGTACCGTTTCAGTAGCAAAACCGATACGTATGCCGGTACGATATTGATAACTTTGCATCATACGCATGACTCTTGGTAGGCAGATAATTTTTTTTTTTTTTAGTTAGAACTAAAATGATGTTTATACTACCATTAGAAAATGCTATAGTATAATGACATATGGAATTATAAACCTATAACATGATGAGGAACAAAAAAAAAAAAATGCATAAAAAAATTGAAAATCTAAAACTATGTAAAATTCTAAAGTTAAGGGACCAAAATTGTGTATAGAAATTAAAAACAAAATTATTATTGATGATTAATAAGTAGTTTTATTACTTCAACCATTAATTACTAGAAAAAGTAAAAAGGATAGTTACTAATTATATATCCATTGATGTTAAGGATGGTTAATAAATCTATGATCGACTTATTGCTTTTAAAAGACTGAAAAATTTAACATTCATCCTCGTAAAATCACTTTGTGAAAGCTTGTTTCATGTTGAATTTAGTTCAAGACAAGTTTAAGTAATTCACAAGCAACTCAATTCATCTTATAATTTTGTGACAATATTATACTTTTCATTGGCATTGAATATTTTCAACAACAATTAAGGGCCCTTTAGAAATGTTTTTTTTTTTTTTATGTATACATTGCCAAATTTTGAATAATAAAATTGAGGTCTTAAGGTTAAATTAAATTTAAAATTAAAGTCAACATCTTGTTGGGTACAAGCTTGCTAAATTAATAACAAAATGATTTTTTTTCTTAATTTGAATTCAATTTTCTTTTAAAATTTTTTTGACAACCAAATTAAACAAATAAATCAACAATAACAACATTACTAATTGAGGCTCTAAATTAATCCAGCATAGTTTAGGAATTTGATATGTAATTAGAGTAATATTTTTTAGGGTAGTTATTAGGGGAGGATTTTTTTTTTTTTTTGACAAGGACAATGGTTAGTAAGTTAGTTTTATTAGTTGTTAGTAATTAGAGATTCGATCTCCAGATCTGGTGAACATCTCACCTCCCTCAATGAGATGCGAGCCATTGGGCCACTTGGTGGAATTCATTAGGGGAGGATTTTGACTAGCTTTAATATGAGAAGGTCAGCACATGAAAAGGAAAGGACTGACCTGATTAGACCCACTTGTGGAAAAACTAACATTGTCGTACACAATTGAATCTTAGTGCGTGAAACCAGACCATGGCTGCCCTCCCTATTTATTAAGAATCAGCCTGCCTTGATTAATTCTCTCCATATAGCATCCATGGCCGAGAAGGTTCGCGCTAAATTTATATTACTCCATTTTTTTCTTTCCTTTCTTTCTTTTTTGTGGCTGTTATAATATACCTCCGTCTCTTGATGAAAATTAAGGGTATATATATATATATATATATAGTTGTGTATTTTGGTTTGATGCGTATATATGGCGTCCTAATTTTAATTTTGCTCATAATTAATCCTTTTTCGGAAATTAAATTCAATTCCTTCTCTGCATGCATGGCATATATATATATATGGTGATCGACGTTTAATGATATATATTGTATCTAAACACACACATAGATATATATTTTTACAGGTGACAACAATGGTGCTGAATGTGGACCTACAGTGCTCAAAATGCTACAAGAAGGTCAAGAAACTTCTCTGCAAATTTCCTGGTGAGTCTCTTTCTCCAATTTTGTTAATATAATTTCCGTACGTATATGAATAAATTGATAAGCTAAATGGACTGAGTCGTTGTGTTGTGAACAAATTAATTAAAGAAATACGAGATCAGACGTATGATGAGAAGGCAAACAAGGTGACAATTAAGGTGGTGAGCTGCTCGCCAGAGAAGATCAGGGACAAGTTATGCTGAAAGGTGGTGGGTGCATCAAGAGCATTGAGATCGTAAAGCCGCCTGATCCGCCTAAGCCCAAGGCTGAGCCTCCGCCTCCGCCTCTGTGTAAGTGTGAACTATCTATAGATCTGCAACTCCGGGGGTCTTGTTGTTGCAAATGCTACAGCGGAAGGCCTTGATGTTCCTGTGGCGGGCGAGTCCAATGCGTTCAGTGTTATGAAGAAAACCTCTTGTATCTAATGGCGTGGGGTGCAGCGACTCAGGACGGCGGCAGATCCAGATGGCGGCAAGGACACAACTGGAGGATTGGAGATTCTAGGAATAGGACATAGGGACAGGTAGAATCGTTCTTCATTTACAATTTCCTAGAGGATTGGGATGCGAAGGCTTTGTGGTACCAATTTCAGAATTGTGGAAAGGTTGTTGATGTGTTTGTCCCAAGTAAGAGAGATAGATGGGGGAAACGGTTTGGATTTGTCCGAATGCTAGGAGTGCAAGATGTTAAGCAACTTGAAGAGAGACTAAATAGGATATGGATCGGATCCTATAAGCTGAGGGCAAGAGTGGCATCTGTCAGGAGGCAGAGAGGGATAGGAAATCAGAGGAATGCTGGGAAGAAGGCTGGGACTGACAGGGTATAGAGAGGGTTTAGGCATCGAAGAAATGCTAGGTTGAAAGTGGGTATCAGGGAGTAGCGTTTTGTACAACCAGGATTGTCATATGTCCAGGCTATTATGGGATCTTCAAGGAAAGATAGTGCTCTAGTTCTGAATAAACAAGCAGAAAAGAAGGTGAAATCTGCAGCTATGGATAGGGTATCTATTAATCAAAGGAAGTTTGTGAATCTTGAGGGGGAAAGCCCCGGTGATAAGGAGGGAGTTGTGAACACGGGATACAATAGGGAGGAAATTATAGAATTTTATCCATTGAAAGAGGAGAATCAATGGTTGTAGGGGAGCATGATAGTAGTGGTTAAGTCCACGTCAATGATCTCTATTATTCAAAAGAGATTGGATGTGGATGAGGGTTTGATAAATATATCACCATTGGGAGGGAGAAGCTTATTATTAATGAAGAGATTGGCGGGTTATTTGACTGAGTATATGCAACAACACAAAGAGTTATTTGAGCTATGGTGTGAGAGAATACATTCATGGGATGTGGCACCTCAAAATTGTGGTAGAATGGTTTGGGTGCGTGTATCTGGAGTTCCATTAAAAGATTGGAGTGATCGATGTTTTGAGAAGATAGCAGCTTCATTGGGGGAAGTAGTAATGGTGCATGAAGATACAAAATCCAAGTCGATTTTGTGTGATGGAAGAGTGTTGATTTTATGTTTTGAAAGGCACAAAATTGTAAAGACATTGAAGTTAAAAGTGGAGGAGATGTTGTATCAGATTGGAGTGACGGAGGAAGAGTGGAGGGCCAACCCGGATTGGTGGCTGTCGGAGGATGATCGGAGGGAAGAGACAGAAACGAATTCCGATAATTCCTCATCGGAACAGGGTGAAGAGGATCACGAATTTAATTATTCCGTGATTCAAGGTGATGATGTAGATGACGTAGATGAGATTGATGGGGAACGGCTACAAGTAGAGGGAAATTCAAATTCAAAAAAAGCTGTAATAACAGAGGGTATGGGGTTTGCGAAAAAGGAGAACAAGGAGTTGGATGGGCTCAATAATCAAAAGGGCCTGATAAGGGATGCAAAAGATGGGCCAGAAGAAGAGTTTAGGCTGAATGTGAGTATTTCTTAAATGCAAGAAACAAGGGACACAGGGGAATGGGCCAAAGAACAAAATCGGCAAATTAGGAGCAGTGCAGGGGACATTTGAGGGGGAATTAAATAAAGATGTCAGTTTGGGAACTAGGGATTCGAGAGAGAAAAAAAAAGAAAGAACTAAAAACTTGCTACCCACAAGAGAAGCTCGCAAGCAGTGAAGTGAGGGCTCAAGGGAGCTCAGACACAACTATGCAGAGACATCATCGAAACCAGGAAGAACAACAGAAAGTCCAGAATGGGGCGGCGGTGCAGGATCAACGGGCTGGGAGTTCTTCTTTGTCTGACGGGTGCATAGCTCACAGAAACAAGGTGATACGTAGGGAGATGAACATTCCGGAGGTAAGAAGGATATTTAATTTAGGCAAACGCTTGGGTATAGAAGTGGGTGAAAATGATGAGGAAGTTCAGTCAAGATTAATGGAGTTGGAGGTGAGGGACGAAGGACAAGGGAGAGGGTAGAAAGGGCATTGGTGATTCGGTAATGCTGGGTGTGAGTCTATGTTATGTTTTCTTATGAAATTAATATCATTTAATGTGAGGGGGTTAGGGAGTGTGTTGAAGAGGAAGGAGGTGGGTAAAATGGTAAAAGTTGAGCGATCGGATGTATTGTTTTTACAGGAGATAAAATTAGAGATGGTGTAGGGGAATCTATGTAAAATGCTGTGCTTTTCGGATGAATTTGATTGGGTGATGAAGGAATCGGTAAGAGCATCTGGAGGTTTGTTGTGTGTTTGGAATAGGTTGGAATTTGTGAAACAAGGGGAGTTTTCAGGTGACGGGTTTGTGGGTATTTTAAGTGAATGGGGATCACAGAAGTTAAAGTGTAATTTGGTGAATATTTATGCCCCAAATGATAGAAAAAAGAAACTCAAGCTGTGGGAAGAACTTCGACATATGATAGTGGAGGAGGAAGGCCAATGGCTGATTGCTGGAGATTTCAACGTTGTTAGGTGTGCAAATGAAAAGAAGGGTAAGACAGGGGAGACAATGGAAATGAGGGATTTTGATGATTTTATTGTGTTAGCTGGTTTGGTGAATTTAAAGTTGGCCAATAGACGTTTCATGTGGTAAAGGTCGGACGAATTGTCTATGAGTCGGTTAGACAAGGTCTTGATGTCGGATGAGATGTGCAATTTGGGAAAGGAATGGGTGCAGCAAGGATTGAAGAGGACTGTGTCAGATCATTGTCCGATTATGGTCAAAACAACAGTAGCAGATTGGGGACTGAAGCCTTTTCGAATGTTTGATGCGTGGCAATAGCACCCACAATTTAGGAAGGTGGTGGAGGACAAATGGAAGGAATTAGATGTGGAATGGTATGTTGGATACAGATGCTTGCAGAAGCTAAAGAGATTAAAAGAATTTTTGAAAGGTTGGAATAAGGAGGTGTTTGGGAACATGGAAACACAATTCAAAAATGTTGTAGAAAAAGTTGAAAGGATTGATTTGAAAAATGAAGTGGTGGAACTGGAGGGAAGCGAGGTGAAACAAAGGAAAGAAGGTTTTCAGCAGATATGGGACATGTTGAGGATGAGAGAGGCTATATGGAAGAAAAAATCAAGAAGTGATTGGGTTAAATTGGGGGACTAGAATACCAAGTATTTCCACAAGGTTGCAAATGAAAGAAAGGCACATAATAGTATCTAGGGAATAATGTGTGATGGTCACTGGGTGGAGGAACCAGTTATGGTTAAGAAAGAGGTGATGTCTTACTTCCGCAAGATGTTTCAAGAAGAATCTTGGGATCAGCCCAAGCCTTCAAATATTGAATTTGATAGAATTTCTGAAGAGTAGACAGAATGACTTGAGAGACCCTTTACTATTGAGGAGATTGAAGAAGGATTGAAGAGCTGTGATGGAAGTAAAGCCCCGGGGCTTGACGGGTATAATTTTAACTTCCTTAAATTTTTCTGGAATAGTATTAAAGATGATTTTGTTGAATTTTTTCGTGAATTTCATCAAAGTTGCAAGTTAGTGAAGGGGCTGAATTCTTCCTTCCTTATGTTAATCCCTAAAAAGCTGAATCCTAGGGAATTGAAAGACTTTAGGCCTATTAGTTTGATAAGTTGTGTGTACAAATTACTGTCAAAGGTGCTAGCTAATAGGCTTAAAAATGTAATGTCAGAGACTATCAATGAAACACAATCTGCTTTTGTTGGGGGAAGACAATTAGTTGATAGTGTCTTGGTTTTAAACGAAGTTGTGGATGAGGTTCGGAATAGGAAGACACCAACTTTTGTTTTTAAGGTAGATTTTCAAAAAGCTTATGATTGTGTCAACTGGTCATATCTGGATTGGATGATGGATAGATTTGGTTTTGGAGCCAAATGGAGGGGGTGGATTAAGGAGTGTCTCTCAACTGCACGGTGTTCGGTGCTGGTAAATGACAGCCCAACGAAGGAGTTTGATTTGGAGAAAGGGTTGAGGTAAGGGGATCCTTTGTCTCCATTTCTATTTTTGATGATTATGGAGGGGTTAAATGGATTGGTTAAAAAAGCAGAGACTGAAGGATTGTTACAGGGAATAGAGATTGGTAAAAGGGGGTTGACGATTTCTTTGCTGCAATTTATAGATGATACGGTTATTTTGGGATGAGCTGCCAGTGAAAATGTTCTTATGGTCAAAGCTATTCTAAGATGGTTTGAGATAATGTCAGGGTTGAGGATTAACTATAGCAAAAGCAGTATCTATGGACTTAATGTGAAAGAGAGCTGGGTAAGAGGAGCTGTAGGTGTTTTGTGGTGT